CTTTTTTTTTTTTATTTTTTATTTTTTTTTTTTGACTTTAATAAAAAATGTCTACAAAAAAATTATACAACAGCAAAAGCTGAGTAATCAGAAAATTAAGAGTGATAAAAATTACTGCAAATTGTGATCTAGACGACATTCTGCGACTGTCCTTAGAAGATTCCCGTTTTTGACGATTCACCAACGCTTCTCCTCTAGACCACCACCCCGATTCTAGTCCTTCAAACATATCACGACCTATTTCGCCTTTCTTTTTTCCTATAATAAACAACATAAACAGAAGCACTTTTTGTAACCACTATCTTTAAAAACCAATAACTATTCATAAGCATTTCATATTCGGTTGACATGTTCAAACTTGACTTACGGTTCTTTTTATCTAACAAATTATGCAAGTGCTGAGCAAACTACTTGTTTATCTACAGTGTATCTAACTGGAAAAAATAATTTGAAAAAATTCTGAACGATAAATGATGCTTCAGAATCTTTAGTCACTACACCTTACACTTTTGATAAAACTGAACTCGTCAAAAAATATTTACCATGGAGCTGAGCAGGACCAAGAGAATTCGCCTGTGATGGTGTAACAGAACGTTCACGACTGCTACCACGGGTTTTCAGTAAGTTGTTTTTAGGTTCTTCCGAAATCATCTGCGGCGAGCTTTCGTCTTTTTCTGCAAAGAAGGAATTGCTTATGTCTGTTTGGACTCCACGATCGATCAATCGTACATATTCTCGACGCACTGTAATTCCCTAAAAGTTAGTGACACTAATTAGATGAACCTTATAAACCACAGTATTCTGTCTCATAGCGTTTCTTTTCTCTCATCTATAAGCTAATCATAATTAAAACCTATGTTTGTCGCTCGAAAATCTATATTTAGAACAGATAAAAAGTTTTTTGAAAAACATTTTTTTGGTTGAAGGCGAACAAAACACCAATTCTAATTGTAAGTATAGATGACTGGCAGCCTTGAAAGCAATTGTTACTTAAAATTTTCAAAACCTCTAGAATTCTAAGACTCGCTAAGCCAGTAAAAAATCAAGATTTTCGAAAAATGTTTGCCGAGCACTCCCCACTAAAAAAATTTTTGATTTTTGTTTTATGAGCATTTTTTCACTCAATTGCTCGAAAATAAAAAACAGATTCTCTAAAATTTATTAACCAGCAATTAGGGTTGCAAAGTTGCTAACTAAAGTAGTTCCAATAAACAATGAACATTTTATTTTTTGAGCGGTTTTATTTCTTGTTTCAAATAAAAAAATTGTCATTATCAGAAAACTTTCCACTAAAATTCTTTCAGACAAGATACCACTTTACTCTTTTATCTGTATCTAAAATATAAAGTTCTGCTGAAATATCGTGAAAACAACCTGTTCACTTCGAGGAGTATTACTAAAAGTGGTCTTCTGAAGTGTATACTCCATATTTTCTTCTCCGCTTTTGCCAGGAACAAACTCTGCAGGTCTGTTTGAAATACTTGCTGCTTCATGCTCATCATCGGCTTCCCTTGACGGTACAACAGATCTGGCAACTGCTCGTCGCTCCTGTATGGTCTCAAAAACTTCACCGTAAGGTTGTGATTCATTGTAACTGAAAAAGTTTGTATAAGCTAACCATTATTATTCTTATTGTCACTTCGGCGAGTGATAAGCCAAACAGTTGAAAAAAGAATAATTTGCTTCTTACTTACAAAAACTATTTCTGCAACAGTCACAGTTGGCTTTAAAAAAGCGTTATTAAACAAAAAAAAAACAATCAAAAAGTTAAGATTATTTTCAAGTACTAGAAATTTATCATTCTTTTTTGTTTTACGACTTACAGTTTCACAGCACTGTCATAAAAAAGCTCAGAGTTTCTTCAAAAAATAACGCTTTAAGCTACTAATTATTATTAATCAAGACACCAGAAAACACCTCATTAAATTATACTCATCATCTGGTGGCCTTCCAACTTGCCATTTTTGTCCTGGAATATAGCCTGTATAGCCTAAAATATAAGATTGTGTTTACAAAAATTTTTCAAAAATTAAATTATCTTTGGTGCTTATAAATAGCAACAACCTCAAGTATCGATAAAGAATGTCTGTGTGAAAAATTCTTTACGAAATTGTTTTTTCTAGTCACTTTGTAGCTCTGATAAACGGTCTCAAAAATAAACAAACCCGATATTGGATGGAATGAACGATAGCCTGCTTTGGACATCGAAACATATTTTGAACAGAAGCAAAGGAAAATGTATTTTTTGGAATACAATGTTTCCCATAGCAACAGTGGTTCTTTTCTTTGAAGCCCCAATTTCTACACGTTTTAGAGCCTATTCGTCCTTTAAATAAAAATGTGTGCATTAGGAAAAAACCATATATAAATCTCGGCTTTCAGCTATTTGAAGACGACAGTAATATTGGTAATGCATTGAAACAGGAGCACCTTTTGAAGCAAGACTGACAACAGGAAATAAAATGGATTTTCCAATCAAATTTAAGGCTTTTTTAAGTTGGTAACGAGACTAATGTAATATCTCACAATAACTAACAGAGCCAAAAAAACACTAAGTTACACATAGCAGAAACTGATGTATCGTTAACAGCTCGTTAACAGCTAACAACTCTAAAATCAGCTGATTCACAACCGCTGCTTTCAGAGGGGTATATCACAAAATTACAAAACTTTAAGTCAAAACTTACTCTTTGTTTTATTTTTACACTTTGTTGTATCTGTCTTTTTTTTTAAAAACTGCACATTCGAGCTTTCCTACGACACTATGTTAAGGAACTTTGCTCTACATATTAGTGCTGCGCAAAAAATAGTAAATAAATTAAGACAGCAAAAAAAAAATAATTTTAAAAAATTCTGAAGAGAATATTTATTTATTATCGCAAATAAACAATGCAAACTAAAGACCAAAGATGAGCTTACGGAAGTGCTATAACAGTCATCAAATACACTTTTGATGTCAAAGGAATCATAGACAGTTAGAAAGTTTAAGAAACCTCTTTGTTTCAAATCTGCACCATTTTTTAGATTTCAGACATCTCTATTTCACCAACTGGCTATCGCACTACTCAACAAAATTTCTCGGCGTCTTAGAAGATAATAACCTTACTAGCGTTACCACTAGAAGAGATTGTTTTCTGGTAATCATCCTGTACCCTTCACTTGGAAGCGGGAAAAATTTCGCTGGCACTAATTCTAAAAAACCTAGGAAAATCAATTTCAGATTTTTCAGGTTTATTAAATTGTCCTGAAAGCAAATAACCGACTGTCAGATTTGTTGAATCAATACTTTCTCCAAAAATTTCCTCTATTATAAACGCGAAAAAAATAAAGCTCGCAAAAAAAGCGTTTTAGCCAAGAGAAAATAAGAAAGAAAAAACGGTGTCAAGGAAATAAAGATAGCAATGAGAAAATCCATTTTAGTTGCCGACTTTTGCTCTTCAATTGATCATCAAATGTGATCACCTATTTATATAAATATAGTCACAATTAAGCTTTTGATAATGACACATTTCTACAAAGTTCACTTGTGTAAATTCAAAGAATTGGACCTTTACTTTTGATGCAAAATTGTCACATTGACTTCAGCCTCATTTTTTGCTGAAATATTTAGCATTTGCAGTTTTGGCTTTTAAAAGCCTACTGCACTTGAGAACCTTAAAAAACAGACAAGGTACAGCAACTTTCCAGTGTTTTATCGTCTTTTTTTTCATCTAAAAATCTGCTACAAAATCAAAGCAGTTTTCAGGAATTTTTTTGCAAACATACAGAAACAATACGACTTCTCTTTGAAATAGATATCTAATGAGCAGAATTTATGAATACAGAGAAACGGTGAACTTCGTAGAAAACCAAAAACTAAAAAATTTTCTAGACTTTTGTAGAAAAACACTCCGTGACTTGTAAGGTAAGTAGCGAGAATTATTTGTACTTACAATAAACGTTCGAGAGAATAAGGCGCTTTGAAACATCAATTAAAGAGGATATAGAGTCAACAATTTTAGAAGATTGTCTTTTGATCACCATAATTTATGCAAAACTTTTTTTTTGTATTTAATATATTGCAATACTAAAAACTTTTCGCTGTTACTTGTTGAAATATAAATGGAAAATGCATCTGCTTTTGAAAAGATACATTTTTGTTGACAATACTTGATGCTTGACGCTGATATGGTAATTGATATCAAATCAACAGCTTGATCTTGATTTGCTTAATATTTCCGTTTGGCTCGGTTCTGCAGGTATTACCCTTCAATAATTCCAGTAAGTTAAATTTACTGGTTCTTGCTTGTGTGAATATTGCTGTTCAGAAATATTCTTTAAAAAATTAAGCTTGGGAAAGAACTAGTTTTTTTTTTACACTCACAGTAGTCCTGAATTTATATTCACTTCATATAGCTATTAAGTATAATGCATTTCTTGAGCTCTTTTCTCTCTGTTATTTTTTTCACTCGATGAAAGAAGTATGATGTGCTTTCAGTAATTAAGCCTATGACAGAAATATGACGTTGCAAGAACTAGCTGCTCGTTGCTGCTACTTTTTTTATGTAGTATTTCAGTTAGCCCACTTTCAGGACTTAGTCGCAGCAAAAGAATTGCCTTGAAGCTGAAAAACAAGTGTTCAGCAAAGCAGTATCAATGGCATTTATTCCTTAATGTTCACTTTTGAACAGTTTTGCTGTAGTCATCATCATTAATCTTTATGATACTTGAGAAAGGCTTAAATAAAACTTTTTAATTGAACTTTCAATCATTTTACAGAGATAAAGCTTTAACAGAGTAGTACGAAATTCTCACTTTCCAGAACAATACATTAAGAGAGGAAAAGATAACTGTTTAGAAGGAGTTAGACTAAATTGAAAAGTAACTAGGCAGACTAAAAAGTCAGATTAAATAGATGCACAAATACACAACAAAAAATAAAATTTTGTCAAACAAGAAGTTTTAGGCTTTTTTTAAAACGGTAGTTATAAGCTCATGTGTATGACAAGACTATTTCTTACAGGCTTTCATGCCGAGATGAATATTTTCTGTCATGTATAAAAAAGTATATCAATGCTATAGAATAATAAACAATATGCTTCGAAAATCTGACAAAAAAATTTTTTGACACCATCAGTGATCACTGAGTTTACAAAATAAATCACAGGTGCACTTCACAGTAACCAGCAAGAAATTCAAAAATGTCGTCGTAATGCCTT